CTGATCAGGGCCGGGGCCAGGGAGGAGCCTGAAACCAAGGTTCTAGTATGTGCCCTTGACCGAAATCGAACCTGGGACCCTTTGGTCTGCAGGCCGATACTCTATCCACTGAGCCAAACTGGGTATGGCTAGACGTCAGTTTTAAAAATCGTTTTGAGCTTTTGGCATCTATGCTAAAAGCTCAAAATAAATTTCCATCAAGGTGAACTTATTAATTTGAGGGTTAATTTTTAAAACATGAATATAAAGATGACTTCATTAGTCATATTAGATTGCTATTTCTTATATTGTTTATGGAATACTTTCTGAAGATTTTGTTAAATAGGAATTGTGGTTATAAACTCCATCAAGACCTCTTGTTCTGCACTGACCTAGACTGTTGTTAGTCATATTATTTCTTCATTTTTGCTTTTCACAGAGTTAAACCCCTCATTATATCTCATTTCCAGACTGTCCTCACCTCTAGGAGAACAGTCAGGGCATGGGTACAATGTCCTTATTTTCCATATTAGAGGTGGTAGACACTGACTAATGTGTAGAGTGTAAGAAGAGGAGAGACAACTTGATGTTGGAACTCTCAGAATCCAGACGGCTTGCTGGATGCTGGAGCTGCAGGAGGAGACCATGACTTCTGCCCAACATCGTGTATGAGATTGAAAGCCGGGCTCTCTCTCGGAGCAAGGACTTCCGCCACCCGGTTGTCACCAAAACTGAGGTCATCTGGAAGTCATGGATGGCTTCTCTCCATCTGGAACAAGAGAGATTGAGGAAACACCACAAAGGTTTTCTGCTGAGCACGTGACTGCACGGGCAGATGCAGAACGTGTTTGGGAAAGAACTGAATTATTCTTGGAATCTGTGTCAGGGGAAATTTGATTTGTTAGTTCGCAGGCCTGCCAACATAATCCTGCAGATCTTCTCTTTTCTTAATTGGAATGACATTGGGCAGCTATCAAAAACCTGCAAATAATTCCCCAAGATGTGTAACAGTGAAGAATTCTGGGGGAAATTTAGAACTTTACAGAAGAAAAATATGCTTTTGCCACAAAGATGATAGGTATAATCATTTATAAGAAGCTGCTGGCTTTCACCAAAATGTAGCCCAACAGAAGATCACAGAGAAGACAGGTGACATTTTTCTAAACTTTACTGAAGTTACTAAAAAAAAAAGGATTTAACTGAACTTTCATGTAACAGTTACTACCATTAAGACCTTGCCTGTAGCTGAGACCACAGGCAAGCAATTATCTGGTGGGGATTTGTTGGTAATTTGTTTAAGAAAAATCCTCTTGACTCTGAATATTGTTCTGAAAATAAACTTATTTTCTGTCAAAAAAAAAAAATCCACAAGGCAAGTTGCCATCGTTCTGGGGGAGAGTGACAGCTTGAGTGCAGTACGTAAACAACTCATGTTTTGAGTGCTAAAATTGTTATCACAAATGGCTTTCCTTTTGTCAACATGATCCCTTTGAGTTCTAAAAAATTAGATATTTACATAATCTATATGTAGTCCTTACCAAGGCATGACCTATAGCTGTGCTTCTTACACATTTCCACTAGCGGAGGGCAAAGTGAATGCATATGCCCAGGTGCCAAAGCATCCCATCTATGTAGGGAGTTTTCTTTTAGTCTCCTGTTTTCTCTTAATCCTTATGAATAGTTTACCTTCTATTTATTGTCCTTGATTAAATATATAAATAATGACAACATTTATTTATTTTTAAATAATCCTTTATTGTTGAAGTATTGCATATGTCCCCCATTGACCTCCACCAGCCTGTCCTCGTCCCCCCCACCCTTGCCCTCACACATTTATTTATTTATTTTTAAATAATCCTTTATTGTTGAAAGTATTGCATATGTCCCCCATTGACCCCCACCAGCCTGTCCTCGTCCCCCCCACCCTTGCCCTCACCGCCCCATTGTCTGTGGCCATGGACCATGCATATATGCATACAAGGTTCTTGGTTGATTACCTCCCACACACCCACCCTCCCACACCTTCCCCCCAAGATTCCGCACTCTGTTCCCTGCTTCCATGTCTGTGGACCCACTCTTTTCATCAGTTTATTTTGTTAGATTCCACTTATGAGTGAGATCATGTGATACTTGTCTTTCTCTGACTGACGTATTTCACTTAGCATGATACTCTCCAGGATTAATGACCACATTTATTAAACATTAAATCACTTCCATTTCCCCCAAACTGGTTGAATAAATTTGATGCCCCCAGATGGTCACTGTGAGAACCGGCTTCCCCCTTCTTGGTTGACCAAGGCCTACTTGAGTGAAAAAACTGCTTCTTATTCCTTTCTATATTCCCCAATATCTGGCAGAGCACTGGGCATAGAGTCACTATTAATAAATGTGTGCTTGTGTTTAATGTATGCCTATGTCCCCTATTAGAGTATACGTATGATCCTCAATAAATATTTCATATAGAATATTGGATGATAGTATGTTTACACTAGAAACATGTATTTTTAATCTTGTAAAAACCTCTGTGTGAAAAAAATATGTACATGTTTTTGGTTCTTAACTTTCAACTTGACTTATTGAGATGTCTAGACCATATGGGTATAAGAGCAGTTCCTCTTTGAATACAGTGCTCTATGTAGCCAGCATCAGAGTTTTCGGATCTGAAGTTTCCCTGTGGCTGCGTATTTAGACATTCTATCTGGTTTCTTTTTGTTTTTTTTCATGTTTTTTTTATATCTCCTATTTTCTTTGACATCCCCTCATTATTCATATTTCTTTAAAGTTGATGAGCATATGTATTTCATGATAATTGTACTTATGTCTGATTCCGTAATTTTTTTCCTTTGGCACATGAGCTCAGAGTGGTGGATTGTTTCTTGCATATTGTGATTTTTATTATTTATTTATTTTTAAATGTGTATTTATTGATTTTAGAGAGAGAAGGGAGAGGGAGAGAGGAGAAAAAGAAAACATCCATTGGTTGCCTCCCATACGCACCCCAACCAGGGACCAAACCGCAACCTGGGTCTGTGCCCTGACCGGAATCGAACCAGTGACCTTTCAGTGCATGGGACTAGTGCAACCAACTGAGCCACACCAACCAGGGCCACATTGCGATTTTTAATTGTGCGTTCACGTTCCCTGAAATTTTATCTGTGTGATTTTTTTGAGGCCTGGTTTTAAAGTGACTTCATGCTCATTTTTCCAGTGCTTGGGACTGTTTTAAACTGCATTGTGGGTTTCTCTGAGACATGTAGCCGGTGTGATTTCTGGCTCTAGTCCAGCATCAATTCAGGCTTCTGGTTGGAATTTGCCCTTCCCCTTCAACTCCCCAATTCACCTAGAACCAAACCCTAAAACCCAGACAAGTTCCTCCACTATCTCGCTTGTTTTTTTTCCTCTTTATAATCATGAAAATGTCACTATTCGGGGCTTTCCAAATTCAGAAAGAATCTTTGACCTAATCTCCATCACAGTGGCCACAGTTTTGTTTACTACCAATGTACTTAGGCACCTGGACCCATCCTTCTAGCTTAAATGACTTGGAAATCTCGTCAGGATTAGCAGATGCGTCTAGGGCGGGGGTGGGCAAACTTTTTGACTCGAGGGCCACAATGGGTTCTTAAACTGGACCGGAGGGCCGGAACAAAAGCATGGATGGAGTGTTTGTGTGAACTAATATAAATTCAAAGTAAACATCATTACATAAAAGGGTACGGTCTTTTTTTTTTTTAGTTTTATTCATTTCAAACGGGCCGGATTCGGCCCGTGGGCTGTGGTTTGCCCACAGCTGGTCTAGGGCAAACGTGCAGCATGGGGTGGGGGTAGGGGTTGGAGCCCGTGGGTGGAGGGGGATGGAGGGGAGTTTACTGACCTGGTTGAAGTTTGTTTTCTCTTTGATGATGACCTCTAGAGAATTTCTCTTTTTTGTTTCCCATAGATATATGCAAAAAATAATATTAAAATACTTTCATTTATATTTAGGAGAAATTGGAAAAGATCTCTACTCTTATCTAGTTTATTGGAAACAATAGCTCTTGAATATCTGCTGTGTGTAAGGCATGCTAATGACCCTCACACTGGAAAACATGGCCATCCTCTTCGCTAATGACAATGGGAAACACTCAGTGATCCTTACTCCTTCTCCAGCCCATCTGGTGGCAGGCATTTTCATGATGACTGAAATTCTTGGGGTCTCTGTGTTCTTATCCTACGTAATAAAAGCCTAATATGCTAAGTGTCCGACAGTTCATTTGACCGGCTGCTATGACACTCACTGACCACCAGGGGGCAGACATTCTGACCAGTAGGTTAGCTTGCTCCTGGGGTCTGGCTGATCAGGAGTGGGTGAGACAGACCAGACACACCTTGGAGCCCTCCCACAGTCCCTCCCCGGCCCCAATCATGCACCGATGGGGTCCCTGGTCCCAGCCTGCTCCCTCTCCTGTCCAGCCGGCCAGTAGCTATGATGTGCACTGACTACCAGTAGCAGATGGTCAACGCAGGAGAGGCAGCTCTTGGGTGACACAACCCGGAACCAGAGAGGAGGGAGGCCGATTCCTCACAATTCCTCTCAGACTCTGGGACCCCTCGGGGGGGATGTTGAAGAGCCAGTTTCAGCCCAATTCCCGAAGGCCAGGGTGAGGGACCCTACCTGCCAGAGGGCCCCTGCTCACTCTGCAGATGCCCTTTGAGCCTGCCCAGGTGTGGCAGACCTGGGAGAGACGGCGGAAGGTTGGCTCCAGGGCATGTCCAGACCATCTCGCTCCGTCCTGCCCTACTGGCCACCACCTGGGACCTGCACGGAAGGACTAATTAATTTCCTTTCAATGTGCATGAATCCATGCACCGGGACATTAGTCTACAATAAAATGGTGTTGCACTAAATGATCTTTACAGATCCTTCCAGATCTAAAATTTTTGACCCTATGGCCCTGAACCACTACATTCTCCCCCTCCCCCCCCATTTTCATTTTTCCTTCTTACAGTGATATCACCCCTATTCTGTGCTCCTCCCACAGGTTGCTTCGCTGGGAGTCACGACCTTCACCTTATGTGCTCTGTGTATAGACCGCTTCCGGGCGGCCACCAACGTGCAGATGTACTATGAGATGATCGAGAACTGTTCTTCCACCACCGCCAAGCTGGCTGTCATATGGGTGGGCGCGCTCCTGTTAGCGCTTCCCGAGGTGGTCCTTCGCCAGCTGAGCAAGGAGGACGTGGGCTTCAGCGGCCGCGCCCCGGCGGAACGCTGTGTCATCAAGATCTCCCCCGACCTGCCCGACACCATCTACGTCTTAGCCCTCACCTACGACGGCGCGAGGCTCTGGTGGTACTTCGGCTGCTACTTCTGTTTGCCCACGCTGTTCACCATCACCTGCTCCTTGGTGACGGCGCGGAAAATCCGCCAGGCGGAGAAAGCCTGCACGCGCGGGAACAAGCGGCAGATCCAGCTCGAGAGCCAGATGAACTGCACGGTGGTGGCTCTGACCATCTTGTACGGCTTCTGCATCATCCCCGAGAACATCTACAACATCGTGACCGCCTACATGGCGACCGGGGTTTCCCAGCAGACCATGGACCTGCTGCACATCATCAGCCAGTTCCTGCTGTTCTTCAAGTCCTGCGTCACCCCGGTCATCCTCTTCTGCCTGTGCAGACCCTTCAGCCGGGCCTTCCTGGAGTGCTGCTGCTGCTGCTGCGAGGAGTGCGCCCACAAGTCCTCCGCCGCCGCCAGCGACGACAACGACAACGAGTACACCACCGAGCTGGAGCTGTCCCCGTTCAGCACCATCCGCCGCGAGATGTCCACCTTCGCTTCTGTCGGAACTCACTGCTGAAGGACGCTGGGTCTGGTCTGATTTTTATTTTATTTTTTATTTTCCTACCCTGGGAAAGTTTTTACTTCCTATTTTTTTCCTGACCGGGAAAGAAATGCAGACAAAAAGAGAGAGAACTATTAACTACTGTAGAACTGATTTTGCAAATTAATATTTGTGCTTGGAAAAGAAAAAAGGTTTATATTTAGTTATTGAAGAAGTCCGAGGAGGCCAATAGTTTTAGATAATTTTATCTGGTATGGTGCTAATATTTTCTTGAAAAAAAAAAAGTTCTCGCACCCTAATGAATTGCTAATTTTCTTTCTTTTCAAAATATAATCGCTGTATGTTGATGATAGCCATGTGCTTTTGTAGGTTATATTATGTTTGAGTTGTAATTGAAAGTATATTGTATATATATCATGAGATGATTTGTAGATAAGAGACATTCACAAAGTAGCACCAAATAAATGACACTTTATTCTTTAATACCATTGTCAATCTACTTTTAACCAATTTTCAATAAATCTTTTAATTGCCTTAAATACACAATTACTGGTTCTATGCACAAGTTAAAAATGGCCTTATTGTTTTATAATTTTATTTCCTTTAAGGCAGGTCATCACTGTGTTATAAAGTCTTCTTAATACAGTAGTACTATTTTATATGCATGGCTCAGAAAACTATATCATGTTAAAACAAATTGTATTTTAATATTTAGATACAGATGTAAAATTACTTTCAAATATTTACAAAATACAAATAAACAGACAGCAGAGTAGGAAGAAACTATCTTTTTTTTATTATTTTTTTAAATTTACCTTTCAACTAGCATGTAGACCTGTAGGGTTTCCTATAAGGAATAATGAGCTGAATTAAGGACTAAAATACAATACGCTCGTCACCCACTTCCCTCTGAACACTGACCTTGCAGCGCTGTGACTCTCATGGGAAGCACTCTGAATGCTAATTTTCCTCCTTTTAAACAATGAACTTGATTAAATCTGTGTGATCTCATGTCTTTAAGTAGACTGAAAGTACAGTAGTGGAGTAATAAAATATTTATATATCTTGATTAGAACACTTGAATATTCAAATGCCACCTTTGAATTGGCATTCCGCAAACTTCCAACAAAAAACAAAACCTCTCCATCTGAAGACTTCGAATTCCTTAAGGAGTTCAAGTTGCAGCAGCTGTGTAGGATGCCTGCCAGGTGGGGCACATGTCTAAATCAAATGGCAGAGGCAGTGACCTGGTGACACAGTGTGGCAGTGTGGCACAGTGTCTGTGTGTTCAGAACAGTTATATAGGGAAATCCAGTGTTCTGGCTGGAAACCGCCCTCTGTGCTTTCGGCACTGTTTGGCATAGCTGAGCAGCACCGTCTTTCTTCCAGGTTATAACGTGATGTTTTTTTAATCATTACACTTTAGTGCTAGAAAAATAAAGATACTTAATCCAGACTATTCATCTTTCACATGAAACCCAGGTTCTGACCGTGCCCAGGATACCTCCTCCTTCTCAGTCAGTACTGTTCAAAGGGATTTCCCCCACTTTCTGTGTGTATTCTGAGGGATTTGAAGGAGAATAAGAACAAGGCATCATTGCTTTACAGATCCCTGTAACAGGTCTTTGGAAAACTTCTCAAGGACGCTTGAGCTAGGTTTTGGCCGCTGAGCCGATCAACAATTGTGATGCCCCAGTGTCTCTCATAATATTTACTCAACTTTATAAATAAAGAAACATTGGCTGAGCACATGGTATAGAAAAGGTTCGATGCTATTACCTGCTGTAGATAAAAGTATACAGAGCTCAGGGTCAGACTTAACAAAACCAGGCAAGGGTGGGATGGGAATGAAGGCATACGACAGGTAAATCAACAACTCTGATACCAGGTGGGACTTGTTAGGAAGGTGTGAAGTTCTAGGATGGTTCACAGCTCAGGGTGGAGGACATCATGAAAGGCTTTAGGAGGTAACTGGGTGGATAGGCTTCAGCAGGAGTTGGTGAAAGGTAGTATGAGAAATGGACATCTCAGGATGAGAGAGTTCATTAAAGGAGTAGAGGGAGGAATCATGAGGTGTGGTTGAAGAATAAGTGAATGGTCCAGCTTGGTTCCTATGTTATATGTGTGTAGAAACCTCATGGAAAATACTGATGAAAATAGGCATTGAGACCATATCATAAAAACATATGGCCTTATGTCTTTGGCATTCTATATCTGTGTTCACATGAGAGGCCCTGCCCTTCCTCTACCCCATACTCTCATACTGTGCCAGGTGTGGTGAAAATAGACATTGAGACTATATCATAAAACATTTAAGATGCTGCTGTTCAAGAACATTTTTTCTCCAACCCTGCCCCCTCATTTAAGAAATAGATGGACTTTTTTCAGTCTTCAAGAACTCTCCATGGTAACACGTGACGTTTTCTTCCTAATGTTTTGAATTCATCTTGCACTTGAAAGTATTCTTCAATTACTTTCTGTTGGTTTTGGCTTCCTATGTTCTTTTTCTAGGCAGCATATTCCAGTATATCTGATTACAGCTACCTTTTTCATAAAGAAAGAAGGAACAACATATTAAAAGTTTCTACAATTTTACAGTCATGTTTTATGAATGTCCCTTCTCTCTGGTAAGCAGAAAGTGTTTTAGTGAATGCAACTGAAGAACATTTACTGAGCTCCACTTTTGCTCTGCTACTTACATTGTCAGTCTTTGAATTTGAAATCACTCAACATAGGGCCTGTATAATAGACTAGAGGCCCAGTGCACGAATTCGTGCACAAGTGGGGTCCCTTGGCCTGGCCTGCGGGAATCGGGTGGAAACTGGCTCTCTGACAGCCCCTGAGGGGTTTTGGATTGCGAGAGGGCGTAGGCGAGGCAGTGGGACCCCATTGGTGCATGATCAGGGCGGGGAGGGATGCAGGAGGTTGGCTAGTGGGGAGGGACTATGGGAGGGCCCCAGGGCATGTCAGGCCTGTCTAGTTCAGTCCTGATCGGCCAGACCCCAGCAGCAAGCCAACCTGCCAGTTGCAGCGTCTGCCCCCCAGTGGTCAGTGCACGTCATAGCAAGCTGTTGAGCGGCCTAAGCATATCATTAGTATATTATGCTTTGATTGGTTGAATAGATGACTGGACACTTAGCATATTAGGCTTTTATTATATAGGATGGGAATTATATTATTTTAGAGCCCCAAGTGATCTCAAAGTCTTCCCATATTACCCAAATCTTTATATGTACAGAGCTGATCCTCTGAGAAGTTTACTGACTTACACAAAGTCACATAATTTGACCCTGGTTGATTTAGAATAAGAATTCTAAGAATAGCCCTGGCCAGGTGGCTCAGTTGGTTGGAGTGTTGCCCCTCATACCAAAGGGTTGCAGGTTCGATTCCTGGTAGGGGCATATACGGGAGGCAACAGAGCCATGTTTTTCTCTTGCATTGATGTTTCTCTCTCTCTCTCTCTCTCTCTCTCTCCTCTCTTGCTCTCAAAATAAATGGAACATATTATTCTCAGTCAAGGATAAAAAAAATTCTAAGAATAGAATATCTCCTTTCAGAGATTATAAACAATAATTCTTACTACTTGACCAGTACACTCGCAGCAATCTTTAAAACACTACATTTATTTGGATAACATATACTACGTGTTCATTATATGTTTGCTCAATGAAAGAATAAGCAAATATTTAAACTGAAAGAAGATGCAGAAACATTGTTTAGCAAAGTACAGATGGAAAACCAGGACTTTGAGTTAAGAAGCCATGACAAAAGAAAAAGTAAGAAAGTATAGTTTTCTTGTAACAGTGTTCAGACCGTAAATGAGTAGTCCAGCATTAATCATATGATGTACATATCTATGGCCATATATGTAGTATGTTTTTTAACAAAATATAACATCTGGCTGCTACCATTAAATCTTCAAACTTCTTGATCTCAAAGTTACTACGTCCAGGTAGCCCAAAAGCCACTTTAGCACTTGGCTCATTTTCTTCTTTCCCTCATTCACTCCATTCATGCAGCTAACCCTATATGCCAGCACTGTGCTAAGTCTCAGGGACATAACAGTGTATGAATTAGATATAATTCAGTCCTTTTTCCAGTTAACAGTTTACAACTGTTAAACGTTATTTCCTCCATTGACTATTTAGCAAAAACGTGAGTAGTGCTGAGAAAGAAACGTGCTCTGGGAGTATGCGATAGGGGAACCTGACCTAGTGGTAAAATCAGAAAAAGTTTCCTTGAGGAAGTGCTAGGAAAGGGTGAGAGGTGGCAAGGGGATGAGTCAAATAGAGGAGAGTACTGTATTAAGGCTCTGTGTGAAGACAGAGCAAGTTCAGCGAACAGGGAAGGCTGTCATGTAAAAAGCCAAGGCAAGCATAGAGTAGTAAGTAGCATGAAACCAGAGTTTGAATGAAAAAAATGTCTGTTCATCTTCAATAGATTTCTGTTACGTGTAGGTAGAATAAATTCAATTTATCAATGTTATACTGACCTTCTATGGTTCATGGGAGACCAGTCATCATTGTTATTAGAAAACTGACTTCTTATGTAATTAAATCTGTCTCAATTTTTAGTCTTGATTTTTCATTATAATTCACTGAATGTGCTTCCACACTTGTTCTTCAGATATTGCAATCTGAAATGCAACAATTTGTTGATTGAAGAAATTGTATTGATATTAGTAGAAGAGAATTATTTACTGTCATAGTAATGAGTACTTCTGATCCCTAGAACTCGGGTGCTAAATCAACTTTTCATTGCAGTCTATAAATTTGTAAGAGGATTAGAAGTCTTTTGGCTCAAGTACTCAGAATTTGAAGATTGATTTTAAAAATAGTATGGTTTAATCAGTCTTGACATGATCATTCTCTTGTACTAGTAATAATTTAATCAATCACATGGCTGTTAAATGATATTTACATTTCCTATTAGTCGATTGTTGTCAATTCTAAAAACTGGATTTAATATTTTTCTTGTATTTTTAAGACATATAAGTAATTCATATGCAATACATTCTTTGAAATCCATAAAAATCTCCTGAGTTGAATGAATGCTTTGCTATATGGGCAGGCATGTGATTGATCTGCCTTACACATTTTATATATGCTGAATTTACATATAATCATAGACATTTAGAATTGTTCTATTTAATCATAGTTTATTTTCCCAAGTTTTAAGAGAAATGGTCTCCTGTAATTTTATTACTCATATTTGTATCAATATTATATTTAGAAATTTAGGTTGACTAGGATTTCTTATCCCTAATCAAATATTTTAAACTTGATAAAATCTGAAAACTTGTCTCAGACAGAATTTGAAAATTTAAGGGATAGTGTCTTTGAGAGAGAGAGAGAGAGAACATCTGAAATGTCTAGAAGAGATCATAATGATTGTGAGGGAAGCTTTCCAAAGAGTTCATAAAATGACAATCATATTATTCTTATACCCTTAAGTGACTTTTCATCCTGAATATCTTATTGGGT